CCAAGTTTTTTTTCTTCTATAGTTTCTTTTAATAATTTTCACCATAGTTGTTTCCTACATTGCATATTACAACATTGCTTCATGTATCTACTTTTCACTAACAAAATGTTAATGGATCATGACTTTCTCCATAATTTTCAACACCATTATCACTCACTGTTTAGCAGTGAGCGGGTGATCTGGCTGCAAAATAAGATGCAGGTGTCAAATGTTATCACAGTTTTCAGCTACTATATTACATGATGTTAAAGGTACTATAATTTTTTGTTCCTCTTCATCACCATTCTCGAAACATGGATTAAAGCAACAAGTGCAATGTATTCATTTCTTTCCCAATTAGAGATCAAAAAAAAATTAAGAAAATCAGTTATAGTTCAACATAAAATATAATAATTTACATGGTGAAAATCTGTTACAAGGAAGATACTTTCACCATCAAAATAGAAGGCAGACAAAATGACAGGGAGAAGCTTCTACATTGTACTAACACATGGAAGGAAGAGATACTCCTGGAACACTAACTAGCATTTCCTGATTAGAAATGCTTGTTTTGCCCTTATTTATAAATTGTCTACCTGTCCCAAATATTTTCATTGTTGTAGCTTCTTTCCCATTTTCTGCTGGGCAGGTGTAAAGTAGATTTGAAGCTCCTTGCAACTAAAGAAAGCAGAAAAAAGTACTACCGTTTTGACAATAAGGTCACCATAAATGAGAAAACAAATGTAGAGTTGGACAGAGATAACAAGGTGCAGAGCTGGATGAACACAGCAGGCCATGCTGCTTGGCTTGCAGTGTTCATCCAGCTCTGCACCTTGTTATCTCAGATTCTCCAGCATCTGCAGTTCCTGCTATCTCTGAAACAAGAGTTGGACAGAGTTGTGTTCAGTTGGCATAGACCTGTGGTGGGATTTTACATAACACTGTTCTAGACACTGAAATTAACGGTCACAAGATACTATGTGTTCATGAGGTATTTGTGACATCATGCAGTGATTTGACGCTTTAAAAAGTTTTTTTTTAAAATCATGGTCGCTCACAATAATGAAGAACAAATAACAAAAATACATATTGTGAGCAATATGTAATCTGCTTCTATTAAATATTGCAGAAGTTGAATCTTTTGCACTTGGTATCAAATTCTTAGGTAAGAAAATAGTTTAGAAGCTTCAGGACAAACTGGTACAATCTTGATTGCGCAGAAGTGCAGCTAAATCTTCAAATCTGTCACAGCCATTACTTTATTTAGTAAACCCCGATCGTAAGCCAGCTAAAAGTGACTCTTGTTAAACATTCAAATGTCACATTTATGCATTCTTCCAAATAAACCATGCAACAAATTTAATCACATTCGTGTTTTTCAATATTTACATATCATTTGAAACAACTTTTATTCAAAAGTCCCCAAGGAGAACCAAAAAGATTTATGAAATCAGAAAAAAAACTGAAGGATGACGTTTTACAATATTACTTAAGATTTCAAATAATCTATTTATTGAACAGTATAAAAATGCAAATCACTTAAAGACAATTTTATTGATTGGATTTTCTAATTAATAGCATTCATATCAGAAAAATATAACAGTAAATATTGAATTATTTAGAAATACATTTTCCCCATTAACTGTATGCACTATGTCATGAAGCTTTACCACTGTCTTTGTCCTCCTAATAGTCTCTCTTTACTAGCACTGCCTGGGGGCCACACCTTACAACAGCAATATGCTTCCAGATCTCCAATAATGTACGTCTTGGCTGTCTGCCAGAAGGCACACAACCAACCTTGCTTGCCCTCCCACAGGGAGGCGTCTGCCCTCAACTGAGATGTGCCTTCCAATATAATTAGAAATCAGAGACATGGAATAGAGTTTATTGCAGTGGTACCTTTTCCATTTTATGACTACATTTTCAGTGAAAGCTTGACTCTTGGTCATGATCACCCAATGATGGATGGTACGGTATGTATGAATGTGTAAATTTTGTACAAGTCTTAATAGCCTCATACATAATTTGAGATGACACAGATGAAATACCTTCCAAAAAGTAAACACTGATCATTGTTCATTACAAATGCAAGAATACAATAGTTTATATATACACAAGTAACCAAAAGGAAATAAAATTGAAATAATTATTTCAATATTGTCAAAAGGTCCGACTCAATCCAGGGTCCAAGAGATATCAGAATACCTACCCATTCGGCTGAATGGCAAAAAAAAAGAAGCACAATTATTTCTGTCTGTCTGTGGACCAGGGCTTCCTAGAAAGCTGCTAATTAGGATCAACAGTGAGCTTATAGCATTGCAAATATTTAATGATCACAATCATTCTTGAACTTTAGACAATTGAATGCCTTTAGGTACAGATTCCAATGACAAATATTGAATCCATTTCATCCTGACAAATTTAAAATATCATGCAGGATAATACGCCAAGTGGAAATGGAATCTAGATGATTCCATTTACACTGAGACGGCATATACCCTACACTCTTTTTTTTAAAATAAGGAGTACTTGCATTTCGGTTTTGAACAAGTTCACCTACAAATAACACATTAGGTCTACTGTGTGACAAAAGCTCAGCATATAGCACAAAGGTTGACATCATCAGCATGATTCAGAAATGATGATGTAAATTCTCCAGAGGACTGGCAACCCACTTTCTTCATATACAGAGAGCACTCCCTACATTTTCAGTCTTACAGGAATAACAATTACCCTGTAGTACAATTAAGATTGCCCAGAAGTCAGACTTTTATTGTTTAGTTGGGCTCGCCTTTTGCTACACTGTAATAACTGATTGTTCAACCTTTTTTTGGTTAATCAAGAATTATTAGCTAGTTGTTCATCGATGACTGCAGATATTTGGAATACTTAAAATTTATTAGTCATCACTTTATTTCGGTACTCTGAATTTTACTGCTCCCCATCCTAACATTTTCTCTACCTTTTTAAAAAATCAAAAGGAAGTTTCCAGTACAGAATAAAGCTTTCCTGTGAAGATAGATTGGAAATGCTTAGTTCAGTTAAATGTTGGTTGGACATCTCAGCCACCTGAACTGAGTCCAGGCCAAATGATAGGGGATGAATTGAATTAGGAACTAATGAACACGCTACTGTGCATTATTAATGATTAATAAATACTGGGATTAATTCAGGCATAAAGCAAAGACCAGTCACTCAGTGTACATTCTTTTATTACATTTTTTTAAAACCTGAGAGTACTCTATAAATTAGAAAAATGCAATCATTTCAAATCATTTCTATTAATTATCCTGTATAGAATGGAGAGTCAATGCACAATCAAATGTTTATGCTTCTACTTCAAGGAAGACCCATTTATTGTTATATGGTATTATGGATTTATTTTAATGTAGGTCATCTAGTTTTAAATTTCCATTTTTTTGAGAAGGGTCTTCTAGCAATTTACAATTCAGGTTTTGAAAGATTTATGAAGGTCTGATATTTGTACAATAATACATCCCTTTCAGAAAATCTGATTTCAAAAGATGGTAATGTCCAAATTTAGGGTTGAGGTGATGGATATACCTTAAACTACACTGAAAGCCTCAGATAAATGCAATTTTATCTTATCCATTAGCTTAAAATAAATTGTACTGTAACTCAACTAAACCATCATCACTAAATTGATTAATGAAACTTCCATTGTGTTTTCTAATAAATGCACTTGGATTTTATAGTGAATGCTAATTCTAACCTTAACCTGACTGAATCAGAATATCCATGCCATTTAAATTGCAAGTTGATCTTTTCAGGAATATCTCCCTTCAGTTTCAGTACAATTACTGTAAACGAGATACAGCAATTGGTTGTCATATGTGGCCATTATATCCACCTATCCAATAACTAGACAGAGACATAGAAGGTTGTTGCTCATGCTGGGATTAGCCATTGAAATCCCCATTATAAAGTTGGCATTGGTCACCTGCCCGCCAGATGCATTTTCCAAAATCTTACTGCATTAAAAAAATACAAAAAAGGATTATTGTCTCTCATGTCTAAAACACATCAAGGTTTGAATATCTTTTCAAATATCAATGTCCTTTTCAATATTTGATTTAGACTTTGTGTTCAAATTTAAAAACATTTTTCTTTTAGACATTAACAACTGAAAACTACCCTATCTTCCAAAATGCATTCAGCACACAAAGGAGAGTTAGGAAAGACTCCACCACAAGGACCAGTGTTCTGTGTTAGCTAGCCTTGTACATTAGGTGCCACTCCCAAAGCTGTACCTCTGCAACCAAACCATTCGATTATCACAAGCTGAAATTCCACTACAAGATTCGATTAATTAACTGATAAACTGGCCATAATTTTTTTTAAATGGCTATTCATTCTTATCAACACTCTGGCTCACTGTTGTAGTAACTGTTACTATAATTTTATAAATGTGACCTTTGTGCATAACATTGTGAATGCTTAAGGTAAATTTGTTGTAATTCATAGTTGTTTCAACAAAAGAAAACCTCAAACTAGGTACTAGCTTCAATCCCATAGATTTTGCATTATGCTTGTTGAATATCAAATGAAAAACAGTCCTCAAATGAAGTACTGGCTGAATCCAATTGCTTTGCAGAACCTGATGCTTTCAGATATTTTAACTGTTTGCTGTAGAAAAAAAATCTTAAAATTCAGTTAAAAATTCAGAGCCAAACCTGAATTATAATAATCTTCCAATTCACTGTCGTCACTAAAATATGAAATTGCATCTGGAATATATTTTATCAAATCTTAAAATATCATTAACATACAAACATTATTTTGCAATTCATATTTTATTCTTCAGTCTAGTAATGGCCAACCCCTCATATTTTCATGCAGATCTCTCATATCTTGCAGTCCCAAAATTTTGTCTTTTTTTTAAACAAAAATTCTCCATTTCAAGCATCTATATTGCTCAAAGTATTTAAATTTCAACTTGTGAAAAGGCAGATCACTGCAGAATTGTTATTTCAATAGAAAAGACAAACATTTTGTACCTGTTTAGTTCTTCTAATGCAGCACAACATGATTCCTGTATCCCTTTTCTTTTCTCTCCCTTCCTATTCTTTCTTGCTCCTTTCTCACTCCTTCTCTCCCTGTCTCTCTTTCTCACTCCCTCTCTTGCTCACACAGGCACTGCCGACAGCTGCACAGTCAACTGCTGCTGATCAGCATACTCTCCTACCAGATACACCAACCCCCCCTACTCCTTCCCCACCCATCCGTGCCACCACTCCCAGACAGCTCATTAAATATTAAGCGTCTCTTCCCTACCCTCAGTAGCCACAGTCTAAGTGTGCACGTTTCTGGAGTATTAACAATTTAGGTACTGAATTTCTTTCAACATCTTGTAGAACACATTCAAATATCTTACCTATTTATAATAAGGATATTCTGCACAGTCAGAATACCATATTAAAGGAATAAATGGTAATGCATTCACTGAGAACATTTCTTTATTAATAATATCCCCATAAAAATAAATGAAATATTTCATTTTCAATATATCTTTTGATATGGTGCCAAATGGACCAGAGCATCTCATAATTAATGAAGCGATCTGCCACGCCCAAACTCTGATGCTGTAGAGGGCTGCCTGTTTTGACAAATTAAATTGATCTTACCCCTCTATTGAATAAAGTAAATGGCAGGGATTGGGGCATTTCTGAGCACTCTGCTTCATGAATGCATTTCTTGACCCAGCTACTGAAGAACAGAATATGATTGGATCCAGGAACGTCACCATACATTAACCCTTGTAACGCTGCAGGTTTTTAAACGTCCAACAAAGCAATCCATGCCTGTGACATTCGAGAAAGACTAAAAGTAAGAATGCAACAGATATCCCTCAAAATCATTCCTTACAAAAAGGACCCTCCACTGTTTATACAGATTGATTTATACATATCTGCTGTAATGTTTCACAATACAACTTCTAAAAATCATAGCATTCACAAAATTGAATCTCCTGCATCCACTCAGTTACTCCAACTCCATGTTACAGTGAGATCATAGAAATTAAACAGAAGCTTTTAATCTTTGGTTAAGGAGAAAGTTTTACTGTACTCCATTGCCTGTACTGCATGTTTTTAACAAATTATTTTAAAATCAATCAAGCTATTAGTTTATTAATTACTTTCTGATACAAAATAATCATAATAAAATGGTAAACATAGAAGATTTGAAATTATGGGAATTTTCAACTGAAGTGAACATGATAATTTAGTATTAAAGTATAATAAGTAATATTAGCTAGGTGTCTGAAGTGATATTCAATGCCTAATAGAAATGCATTATGATTCATGGAATATTACAAATATAGAATACTTTGTGAATGAAGTGGCAATCATTTTATATTAATTAGTATGATTTGTACAAAAGGGAAATACTGGGTTCTTGAAGCTTTTGGCAAATCACAATGAACAAGGGACAGGGCAAGATTTGGGAATGTATAACAAGAGACAGCATTGACCTCAAATGATCAGAGTAATCATTTCTGAATTTGAAATAGATAAAATGAAATATTACAAATGGAATAAAATTGTCCCAAATAAAACAGTGAACCTTGAAGCAAGTAAGTATACAGCTGTCCCGGATAAATTAGCAAATTGTGCTGTAAGTTGTAATATGTGAAGTCTATGGAAGCCAAAAACAAAAGGGTGCAGGATGGTAATGTGTAGTTTACCATAATACTGACCTGAAGCATAATCTGGCATCTTAATGTACAATTGGGAACAGAGCTAACATTGTATAATAGTAGAGCATGAATATGGAAGAAGGTAATATTTGAACTTTTGAGCCGTGATTCATGACATACCTACGCTATTAGAAGTAAGGTGGTATTACAAAATTAATCCACCTTGCTCATTTCCAGCATTAGAATGTAGCCATGAGCAACTCCCACGCAGCCTGGTTTACTTTTTAATGCAGACATCTTATGCACTCTCTAGGGGACCAAGCAGCATTGAGGACCCAGCAACCTTCCCTTTTTAAAGAGAACAGTCCCTATAAAAGGGAAGATGCAGCAATGTACCACAACCTGCTGAATTCTTGGAATTTGCCTCAGAGAGAGAAACAATGGAAAACCAAGGGATGGGGCGATTTCTCAGACATTGCGATGCGATCTCATATGTACTCTCGAGATGATCAGAAAGAGAAGGAGGCCTTGTTTTCAGCATGGGACAGGAAGTCCTTCCAGATGTACCCCATGAAAAGAATGGAAACAGCTGGTGTAGGCCCTGAGCACTCAGAGTGTTATACAACAAACTTGACAGCAATACTTCAAAAAGTTTAACAATCTCACTCTGGTGATAAAGGTGAGTGAATACATCTGATCCTCACATATGTCAGCCAGTACACCATACATCTCCCACACTGCTCAATGTTTTCCCATAACCCATGCAACAGATATCAGGACACTTAGGACTAATCCCAAGATCCATATAACTGCATTCAACCATATACCTCTCTCTGTTAACGAAGAAGATGGCCTGCAACAGGCAGCTAAGGTGGATGTTGAGTGGAGAACCATCAAAAATACATCCTTGCAGCATTCTGAAAAACATCATCTTGAAGATTAGGGACATCTGATGAGGCCATCCTGGATGATAGTAAGTAGCTGAATTATTCAACTCCTCACAGACTTCTTGAAAGATGCCATGACAAAGGAATGGGAAAGATTGGTAGAGTGATCCATGCCTTCCTCCTCAGCCCTCATCCTTACCCTCACTTTCTGTTTCTGAGCTTTCAGATAATCAGGAACAGTTGAGGCTAAGACCCATCTGCCTCATGATGGGGATGGAACAGGGAGTGAGATTTGTAAGTTTTAGCTCTTATGTAATTTAAAATCAAATCCTAATAATAATTTAAACTAAAAGAACTGTGGGTGGCCGGAAATCAGAAACAAAAACAGAAGTTGCTGGAATGGCTCAGCAGGGTTGGCAGCATCTGTGGAGAGAAATCAGAGTTAACGTTTTGGGTTCAAGAAGGGTCACCTGTTGAGTCTTTCCATCAATTGCTAATTTTGTTCATAATAGTAATTTGTTCATTTGAGACTTTAACCAATAAGGCGATAGGAAGGAATCTAGTGCAGTAACTCTGGACACTTAACTCAGGATATAAATAATACCTATTAAAGCAGGGACAGCAACTTTACATTTGTATTATGGCCCTTGCTTCAGCCAGGGTGCAGTTGACACTCAGTCTTTTGCCTTTTTCAAATGCCTTAAGGCCCTTCAATTTCTAACTAGAAGCAGGATAACTTCAAAACTCGCACAAGCCTTGCTCACTGACAACTATTGCTTATTTGAATTTTTTGTTTTAACTTATTTTTCTAATCAACCTATTCAGAGACATTATTATATACCTCTGGAGCAGGTGGGACTTGAACCCAGGCCTCTTGGTCTAGGGTTAGGGAAACTGCCATTGCACCACGAAAGGGCCCTCAAAATAGTTGCTTTTTAACTATTTCCAAGGCACAACTTACATCATGAGTTACCATACCATTACATTCAGACTGGCCTAGGCTAAGCAAGACATATTGCTCCTTGATTTAATGGTTGCAAGATCAATCTCTAATTAGCCTTTAAGAATAATGAACATTAACAGATGTCACCTTCCAGTGTCTCCTGAATGGTTCCTTAAGTTGTCAGTTATCTATGGGTCCGTCCTCTTCATTGAAACTTGCTACTGTCGCTTTATGAGCTTTTACTAAAATAAAAGGGTAGTTTGAAATGTTCTTTTCCTTTTTATTAAAGAGAAAGAGAGGCATTTACAGTCAGGACGCCATGATTAATATCCTTGAGCTCATGTCTCAAATCTCACTTATTTGGTGAGATTCCCATTAAATCAGACACTTACTTATCACTAACCATTTCCTTTACTTTTAGCATCATCTCATCTAATTAGTTTTGTTGCTGCTGTGTTTGAATGCTTGGAAATAGTTTATGTTACACTTCATACTTTAAAGGCAAAACTAATGCTTTTATTGAGTGATGTGGGTCTAGAGGACTCTGTGATGGAGAGTATGGAATGAATACACTGTAAGGACCAGGTAGGATTTGTGTTGGGAGGAATATAGAAGGCTGACAAAGTTTCTTTTAGCTGAAGCAAATTCTTAGTTCATGTGGTTTCTCTCCCTCCACTGAGATATATATGATACATATTGTCTCAATACCTTGTTCTCCTCACATCCCCAAAATTTGCCTTTGGATTAATGGAGGTCATGACTGACCTTGAATATTGTGAAGTTGTGGAGAACACAATTGTCATCACAAACGTGGAGATCCTATCAAGTGTCAACTGCAGAATTTCCCTCTAAATAATCTTAGCAAGGAAATTTCTGCTTTAGAATCTCAACGACTTACTATGTTATGTGTGGCTCCATGGTTCTCATTGTAGGTCCTCTGACCTCACATGGTCAAGGAGTAACAAGCCATTGTGAAGGAGTATTCCTCATCTCTGAGCAGTCATCAAATTATGTCTTAGAGACCCAAAGTTGATGAAAATTGCTGAGTGCTGCAGGAAGAAAACACTACAAATCTATCAGACTGAGGACATTCATTGAAAAGGAGTCCAGTTGGGTGGTCACACACCAATTTCACATTGATAGAATGGTAGCCCTTGTGTTATCACTGCCTGTTAATCTGGAGGCCTGCAGAGTGACGTCTTTAATGGAAGGTCCCTGCACCATTGGGAAACTAGCTGACATTGAGCCCGAGTCTTGTCGCCTCATGCAGAAGAGAACGAATCATCAATGAATCCCGTAAAACACCCCTTCCAGCTCCTGGATCCTTCTGTGGACACATTACTAATGTCACCAGTTCTCCCAGGAACAGGACTAGTTGTAGAATCATAGAGTCATACTGCAAGGAAACAAACCCTTCGGTCCAACTCATCCACGCCAACCAGACTCCATCCCAAAGTAGAGGGCACAGGTTTAAGATAAGTGGGGAAAAATTTTAAAAAGACCAGAGGCGAAACTTTTTCACGTAGGAAGAGGTGTGTGTATAGAATAAGCTGCCAGAGGAAGTGATGGAGGCAGGTACATTTACAACATTTAAAAGACATCTGGAAGGGTATATGAATAGGAAGAGTTTGGAGGGATATGGGCCAAATGCTGGCAAATGGGATTAGGTCGG